TAATATGCATTTCTTGATTTTTCTGTCTTCAATGAGCAAATTTGTAAGTATGTTAAAGTTCAGGTTTCGGTCAACTAAAAGTTTACTGAAAAAGAAATGTCATGTTTAATCTTTACAACAGATAATAGGAGTAGAGACTCCACGAAGTCTGGTTTTCTCCAATAATCTTTCTGTCTGTATTAAACAAACTTAATCTCTGCCCTTGACTTGGATAACACCTTACACCACAAACCACACCTCTGATCTGGTCCATCCACCAATCAAAAAGCTCTAAAAGGACCCGGAAGTCAACCCATTTAAATGTGGCAACTTCCCAGTTCTCGTTAGAATGAGATTGAGTTCAACATGGGAGTTTTCAGAGCTTGAAAGTTTTTCCTGGAGAAGAGTTCCAGACTTTAACTCTCTGAAGAGAGTTAAAGAGTTCAGAGTTCTTGGATGCTAACGCAGGCGTCCAGGATGCTTCTATTGGAATACAGAATGCAGTGACGATTTTGGGAATTATAACTTCTGTTTGGATAACCTCACACGACTCCTAAGGGTTTGGCAGTCCTCACGGAGACGCTGAAAGAGTCAGAAGGGAACTCCACACCGACGCTGATTATCATCTGCAAGGTAAAAGGTTCTATTTCGACCAAGCGTACCGTGGCCAAGCTGATTCCTCAAAGAGCGTGTTGTTCTGGTCCTACAGATAAATTCCCCCACACATCTCTCTGTAAGATAAATCTCCATTTTCCATCTTAAACTCTCCTTTCTCGTAAAATCATTACAGATATTTTAGAAATGTCTGAAGTAAAGTTCTCAATCACCGCCGTGTGATTGATGTCTGCTGTTCTGCTGAGAAGTGAGGACAATCGCCGTATTGTGCCCACTTTCTGTGAAACTAGCCATGTTATTGTTTTCATATTTTGCCAAATTAATGTAAATGTGTGATGTTAAACTTTGATTCTGCAAATAAATGACCGCATTCATTTTGATGGGTCAAAGGTAAATAACGTCTCTCGTTACATTTCTGTTAAACTCAATGCACGACATTTACACAGTCAGAAAAATGAAGAACTCGTGAAAATGTATGAATATATCCTGCATATGTCATACTACAATAATGTGTCTGTGGTTACGGCATTTTATCGTTCAGCCTTTTTTTCTATCGTCCAATCAGATGTGGCCGTCCAGACACGCCTATTTTTCTATCGTCCAATCAAATATGGCCGGCCAGACACGCCCATTTTCCTATAGTCCAATCAGATATGACCGCCCAGATACGCCTTCCGAATTTGGCTGCAGAGATACCTACTTGACTGTGTTTGCTCAGGATGGGAGACTGCAACGAAGCCAAGATTCATCTTGTCTGCTGGATTCCTTAGATAGAGAACTTTACTAACTGGCTTTTATGTGAATGTTCCTGTAAAGTCCCTGAGACAACTTGTTGTGATTTGGTGCTTTATAAATAAACTGAATTGAATTGAATAATTTTAATTTATTATAGTTTATTTTGAAAGACTTCCTGCCATCTCTCAGCAGCTTTCTGACACTGAATAACTGTAAATAAGCACAAGTATATTATTATTATTATTATTATTATTATTATGTTCCTGTCATGACCCACTTGTACAAACATGTTGTGAAGAGCAGACGTTGATGGACCGTGTTCTTTAAATCAAACAGGTGCACACTCACACCTGATCATCACCACTGATTGAAAACACCTGACTCTAATTTCACCTTCAAATTAATTAATAATCATAGAGGTTCACAAACTTTTACCACTCACAGATATTTAATATTGGATCATTTTCCTCAATAAATAAATGACAAAGTATAACATTTTTGTCTCGTTTGTTTAACTGGTTCTCTTTATCTACTTTTAGGACTTGTGTGAAAATCTGAGGATGTTTAGGTCATTTTGATGCAGAAATATAGAAACTTCTAAAGAGTTCACAAATTTTCAAGCACAACTGTAGTTAATGTCACCGCCATGAACATTTTTTTCCATGATATATAATATATTAAATTATGTTAATGAGCCAGTTTGTCTACAGAGAATAAATGCAATCTTACCAAGCTGAGTTTGCTGCCAGCCCAAAGTGGAGCAGAGTAAGGCCAGACTTTTTCCACTGCCTGTGGGACTCTCCAGCAAACAGTGCTGACCGTAGTTCAACCCTCTTATTATCTGCAACATAATTCAAATAAAACAAAAAAAAATCACTTTAATAGTGTACAAGTGCATTAAAACTGAATCAAAGTATGACCAACATACATTTAGTGCATCAAACATCTACTACATTTACTGCACTGTGGGGTATTAGGACAGCTTCCATGTTTCACTGTTTTAACACACAAGAAGAAGAAATAAATGCCTTGTACCATTTTAAATATGTGCCTGCAATGTGTTTGAATTATTTTAAAGACAAAATCAATCTCCATCATCTCCAGGAGCCTCACTTATCAACAGATGCATGTACAAAAAGTTGTGTGCGCCAGGTTCCACACACATGTTGGGATGTAACAAAATGAACGTTGCAAGAAAGTGTGCGTAAATATACACATACTGTTGACCTGCCGTGAGAAACCGTCCACATGAACTGACTGAACAATGTTGGATGACCCCATTTGGTTTTCTGAACTTAAGGGGTATATAAACACGATTATTTTAACGAGTTTGGTCATTTATAGTTTAAATCCGAACAAGAAAACTGAACCACATTTCACCTCAAATATGATTAAAACAACCTCACTCCAATGTACACTGTAAAGTTTCTTATACTTTGTCACTTGTAGATGTAAGCACACATCAATGTGGGCACACCTGCGAGGTGCGCAGTGTGTGGCTCGTATAAGGGCACTTCCATTCTCACAGAGAAGAAAACGTGTTGAGTCAGCAAATTCTTTCAGAATGCTATATCTCACTTGGCACAGACCATTGCATATTATTATTAATTATTAACCTTTATTTAAAATAAATAAATATGTCCATAAAAAGCAGCGTGGAGTCGTGCATAATGGTGGAACAATGACAGCTTTGGTGCAGCTGAGAGACACCACCAACAGTATGACGGGGAGGCAGCATGGTTTTGCAGTCACACCAACCAAATTTTGGGGACAGGCAGAACTTAATGACATCAACCTTGAGTCTGTGTTGGTCTACTCGGTTCTGAAATGTCCAAATTAACATGGCCACACCGATGGAACGTGACTAGGGCTGAGTACCGAACCGAGGTTCTTTTATGGCACCGACCGAACTGCACCGGTCGGTGTATGTACTGAAACGTCACTCTTCTTTCGGTGTCAAGTTTCGGTATTGGCTGTAACGTGTCACGTGGTTTCAGCACGCAGGCTGGTAAAACACCAGACATATGACAAACAGACTACACCCAGATTACATCCAGAGCTGTATAGAGCTGCCGTACCTAATCTAGGGCTGGGTACCTTTCTAAAAAAATTGGTATTGGTACCTTCCCTTTGGTGTTGGTTCCTGGACGTTCCTTTTTTGGTACCAATTTTGTAATTACTATTAATTCTAACAAGAATAAAATTACGTTACACATTACAGTACATATTGTGAGTTTTATTTTTTAACTTTGGTATTTTTCTATTCCAAGCAGTTTTCTTGCATTAAAAACAAACAAATAATTTCCAGGTCAAAGACCAGTTACAAACCAGTGACATGTCAGTGTCTAATGTTCACTGCTACACACTGAGGACCTTTTCACTGAACAGTTTTTCTTCAGAAACATCAACATGTCTGTTTTCTCTGGACACAAACAAGCTGCTCCTGGCTGATCAATCAACCTTTATTTCTACAGGTAAATCCCATTGAGCCTCGAGGACTCATTTTCAAGAGAGACCTGATTTCAACAAAGAAAGATGACAACAATGGACAACAGCAACAACAATAAACTGTTATAAAAAAGCATACTACAGTTTTTTTTTTTTTTAACAAATAGGATGGCTAAAAGGAAAAGGTAACAAAACAAAAAACAGCTAGATGGTGTCTCCAGCAGTAGAACATGTTCACTCTGAGGGTGTGGATGATGATTGTTGCACACACAGATACCTGGTTGTCAGTTTGACATATTGTCCCTCACATTCCACCAGCAGGTCACTGGATTCACTGAGGTTAGGGTTGATGCAGACTTCTGCACCTCTGTGTCTCTGCCTGAATCTTCTCTGTGGTTCTCTGGGGTTCAGGGCTCTGATCATCTCCCTAATTGACATGAGAACAAAACATCAACAATAACATGGTTGTGTTATTATTGATCAAAAAACATTATCTAGGCTGAGAGATAAAAGTTTAACTGGTCAACAAAATCCTTTAAAGTTTAATTTACCTCCAACATGCAGCTCCACTGTAGAAAAATGTAGTGAACTAGGCCTCTGACCAAAACCTGCCTCTGAGGACCTTCATGGGACAGGAACTGTTATTTCATTGATTTGAATCCAGAAATACAAATTAGCTCATCCAGAGACTTTCTAATTGTATCCTGAAGTAATCAATTGAAAGAACGTTCTTCTTCTATATTATCATCACTATTTTACAATATCTTGATAAATCAAAAGTGTGTTTAGTTCATATCATTTCTAAATGTTGAAGTGAACCACTCATTTTAAATCAACTGTGAAACAGTATTAATGATTTTTTAATCCTCATTTAAATTAGAAATCAAGTTAAATGTCTATTTTACAAAGTAATTATGCATTTTGATCTTCTGTCAGAATGAGAGAGTAGTGATGTCGGTCGAAAGTCAGAAAGAAGTTATTAGAACAAAGTGTCGCGTTTTTAAACCTAGCAGACGGTAAATAAGAAGCTACTGGCACTGCTTCCTCCCACTTCGCCATAACATATCTTCTGTCTGTACGGGACGTTTCTAAAACATTCATGCTGTTTTCTTGACTTGTAATGACCCTCTGACATCACTAGAACCACCCCCTGTTGGTTGCTTCAACCAATCAGGAAGTCCTGAAGTGACCGGAAGTGAGAACTCTTTAAGAGTCCACACTTCCTGGAACTTCTCAGGTCAACTGGGTCTCTCAGTCTTGAGTCAGTCTTCAGTCTTCTGGAGTCCTGGACCGGAGTCTTTCTGGGGTCTTTCATGGAGTCATCCACGTCTGAGTGGAATCTCTGACTGAACTCACAGCTTGCTGTGTATCCACCTGGGAGATGAGCGTGTTTGTTGAACGGAGTACCGTCACTACTTCGGACGATTCTCAGCCATCCTTATCGGAGACGCTGAAAGGTCGTGTTGAAATGGACTCCTGTTCCTGAGCGGAGGTATCCCCGTCTAAGGTAACGAGTCGCCACGCACCGAGTGTACCGGGGCTGAGCTGGGGTCGGATGAAGGGTGCCATTCCTAGTCAACACACATTCCTTTTTATCCATCTTTTCTCTCCATTTAAACTCCTTCATTTCCCATCTTTAAACTCATCTATTTTGCCAGTAGCCTAGATGCCTTCTTCAGAAAAGTCTGCTGTTTTTATTAAGTAAAACGTGCCAAGTTTTATTAATCAGAACCAGATCAGCTAATCACTTGTACATTTTGATGTTAAATTTTGATTCTGTTAAATAAATGACCACATTTATTCTGATGGGTCAAAGAAAATTAACGTCTCAGTGTCACTGATTAAACAATCTACGCACAAGTTACCTCGGTCACATGGCGGTAATTTAAATCGAAAAAGAGAGAACCCGTTATTTAAATATATTGTAGTCAAGGGCAGCTAACCTAGCCCTTAGAATCCTACAAATTTTTAACAACAAAGTCTGATTGTCCTGTGGCCCCCACCTCTCTTTTCTTTTGTCCTCCTCACATCTGGGTCAGAACCTCCTGTGAGGAGAACACGAACATAAACAGTGGACATTAGTGAACTGTTTAAGCAGCTGATCCAATGGATGAGCACATTTTTACAAGCTAAGATTTATGTTACTGTCAATCTTTAGTTAGCTTCTGAGCTTAGCTAGCCATGTAGATAAAATAAATTTACACACTAATATGTTAAAGTTAGCGTTACATGGATCATAGTTTATTTCACCGCAATGTACGTGTTAAGTTGCAGTTACGCTAAAAAATGTAACTCACCAGCTGAAACTCACAGAGACGTCCTCGGAGTTCTTTGATGAAGAGTCCGGTCGTGGAGATGATGAATCGTGACGTTCAGGCTCTCACAGGCTGACTTTTATTTTATTTATTTTATTTTTTTATTTTTTTATTTTTATTTTTTTATTTATTCATTTCATTTAATTTCCAATAAAAACACAAATACAATTTCAAAAAAATTAAAGAAAAACAAATATAAAATGAAAGGAAGCAGAAGAAGAAAATTTCTTATCATATCTGCTCCCTCATAAACAAAATCAATTCAAACCATCAATTTAAAAATAAACCTTCATATATAATACAGCAAAATACATAACTCATCAAAATTTCATACTTAACAAAATAGATATTAATCAGTTATATATATTGTTCCAACAAAACAGTTTTTATCTTTTTCTTAAATATAAACATTGACTTCACCATTTTAGCATCATCTTCCAAACCATTCCACAGACTCATTCCCTGTATAGTAGTAGACCGAGCCTTTAAACTGGTTCTATACTGGGTTTAACAAAAATATCTATGCCCTTCAAATTATAACAACTCTTCCTTTTTACAAAAATATGTTTGAATGTTTGATGGTAGCATGCAATTCTGAGCTTTAAACATGAATAAAAGAATATTATAATCCACCAAATCATAAAACTTAAGTAGTTTCAATTGACAAAACAGAACATTAGAAGGGTGACAGTAACACTTTTTTGTTATAATTTTTACAGCTCTTTTTTGCAGAATAAAAATAGGCTTTGTTATGGTTTTACATGCCGTACCCCAAACAGTGACACAGTAAATTAAATGCGGGACTACAAGTGTATTATATAGCAAATATAAAGCATCATTGTTTAATAAGTCCCTTACTCTGTATAATACTGCATTTGACTTAGATATTTTATTTTTTACAAGATTTATATGCTGTTTCCATGACAGTTTATCGTCAATAATTACACCCAGAAACTTTACTTCATTCACTCTACATATCTCAGTACCATCAATTTTGAGAGAAAAATCCAAAGTTATCTTTTTTTTTACTAAATATCATAAAATTAGTTTTATCAACATTTAATGATAACTTATTTAA